CCCCCGACCCATGCACGAATTTCATGCACCGGGCCTCTGGTGTATTCATATTTTATAGTTACAGCTTTTAAAATCCCAGCTGTGTCCTTGAGCTGCTTCTTTATAATATTATCTAACTTTGCTTACATTCACCAAAATATGAGTTTCTTGAAGGCAAGGACTCCTCTCTGTCTGGTTGGCTCCTGCTGTGTTCCCAGTGTTAAGACAGTGCCTACAGTAGCTGCTCAGTAAATATTTATGGAATGAATAAAAGAGATTGTTGGGTCTGTTTGTTTGATGCTTGGCCTGGCGTTGGATGGAAGTGGGAAGAATATTATATTACTAAGTACTTATTTCTTTATAAAAGTAAAATTATTTTGACCCATAGCACTTGATGGATTAAAGAAGCCTAACCTTACTGCTAGTCAGTGTCCTTGTGACTACTCCACAACTAGATAACCCATAAGAGACAGAATTGGTTGAAATATCTGTATTACCAACTGCCTTCCTGTAAATTACTGGCTTTTTTTATTTCCATACTACTGTACTGGAACATCTTCATCAGGCTGGCCTTTTTCCCCCTACTTTCTATTTTGCTTTTTTTTGTTTTGTTTTGTTTCTGATGAGGTCATTTATTTGATTTTATTCATTCAATGGGTATTTATTGCGTAGTAGTTATGTACAAGTGCTGTGCTAGGCGTTGTGCAAGGTACACAAAAATAGATCCTGCGTAGGGAGCTGACAGTATAATCGGGGAGGTTAAATATGCATAGAAATGATTGTCATAAAAACTTAGTCCATGAATGCCACAGAGGAATGATACGGTACTTGATGATTACTTGTACTAGCCCTGTAAAGCCCTGATTTCTCAGTTAGTCACCCATTTCATCTGTATGTGAATGGTTTTAAAGTAAGAGAATGTTTTTGTTGGTGTGCAGTTTTATTTTATTTAGACTTTTTCAAATGGTTAAGGATATTGGAAGAAAGGAAGTTTCAAAGTTTCACACTAAGCACCTACGACTTTTCCTTTTGCTTCAGATGCTAATCCGAGTTGCACTGAGGTGGACTCATGTTCTTTGTTTCTTTATAGGGGAGTGAGTATTAACGTTCTCAGGCACGAAGCTGAGTTTTACGGAATCACTCCGTTGGGTATGTGTTCTGATGTTCCTACTTACGGTTTGACCCTTTGTGCACAAAACTGCCCCCAATACAGTGTGTCCTATGCCAGGTCCTAGTTTGGGATGGACTAGGTCAGTGTGGGTTTTCATGGCAAGAAGATGTTAGCAGCTGGTTTAACTTAGACCTGCTCCTGTTCCCCTGTCCTCTCACCGGAGAGCGTGGCAGCGGAGAGCTGCTTCTCTGGTGCGCGCATCTGACAGGTGTGTCTGGCGTTTTCAGTGAGAAGGCTCCTGCTGTGCGAAGAGCTGGAGCGCTCGTCCTGCGGCAGCGTCCTCTTCCACGGCTACCTGCCCCCACCAGGTACGGGCACTGTGCTCAGTCCTTCTATGTGCTTGTTCTCATGAAGCAGGTATATTTACACTCAGGTATGAATGGGGAGAAAGAAGACCTATTCTTTGATTCTTTCTTACCTATGCACCTACTAGGAATGGTGAGAACTTTAATTGTGATAGAAGTTAAGTCAGCACACGTTTAGGCAGGTACATGCCAGAGTGTGTTGGTACCGGCCAGCAGGCTTGTGAGCTAGGAGATCTCTGTGGCCACCACTCAGCTCTGCCATGCACACTGCAGAGAGGAGGGGACGTGACCGCTCTGTACAACTTCACTTACATAAACAGCCACCGGGGCCTGGGCCGGGGCCCTCCTGCCCACCCGATGCTAGATCACTGGCAGTCGGTCTGTTAGAGCCCAGGAGGTCTGCACAGGTGTGTCTGGTGCAAGACGGGCAGGTGTGCTGCACGTCACCTCCACCCACTTCAGGTAGAAGAGTTCTGCCTTCCCGTGGCCAGAGCAGGGTTCATCCAGTCGGGCTCCCCTGCCGAATAGAACGTCTGGGGCGGTTCAGCTCTAGAGCAGCTTGAATAGTGCATGGGACCTAAGACCTAGTCACTGCAGTGGAGACACTGGTGTGGACTGAATTAGTGATGGATTTCACTGCCCTAGAGCTGGTGGAAGTGGAGTGTAATATGATAAAGCTTAATCTCATTTCTGTACACTATCTGTTGAAAGTTTTATTTATTTTTTCATTTTTTTTATGGTGATTGGATTGTAATACATTGCTGTATTGGAAGATATATGTTAGCTATAATGAACTGCATGTTTTCATGTCTGGTATGTGAAATTTTAAATTGTTTCAGGTGAACTTAGAAATAAATGATCTTACTTCCTTTCGTAGGTATTCCTAGTCGCAAAATAAACAGCACAACTAGGTCCTCGGCCGATTCTAGGAGTGGACTGAACTCTGTGGAAGGTGAGGCTCGGGGAGGCGGTGCCCAGCCCGTCCTCTCTGCCTCTGGCGAGGAGCCTGCCAGGCTAGGTAAGCGTGATGACGCACATAGAGACCATACATATGCTGAGTTCTAGCTGATATTGAGGATTTATAAAGATGTACTTTTAGCCTCACCTCGCTTTTTAATTCAGACTTATCATTTATATATTAAACTGTAATTTAGCATGTAATTTTTGTATAAAAAGTATATAAGTTCTGTTTGCTCTAAGTCTGAAGTGCAGAGGTTGACAGACTTTATGTGAAGGGCCAGATAGTAAATATCTCAGGCTTCGTGGGCTACCGGGCTCTGTTGGAGCCGCAGCTCTGCCGTGGCGGCGTGGAGCAGCCACAGACGATGCGTAAACACGCGTGCACGGCTGTGCTCCAGCAAAACTGTCAGGACAGGCAGAGGACTGGGGCTGGGGGAGGCCTGTGCTGTAGATAAAATATTTCCTTTTCTAAATCGGCAGGATTTCCTGTGGACCCACGCAAGGTGCTGATCGTGGCTGGCCACCACAACTGGATCGTGGCTGCCTACGCCCACTTCGCTGTCTGCTACAGGTACCGTGCAGGTCCTCATGGCTGACGTTGCTTTTAATTTGGGGGTAGTTTCAGTGATGGTGATTTTATATGCGTAGATTGAAGAGCTGTTTCTTCCAGCCGTCAAATTTTCTCTATTTTCACTTCTGTATCTCAGTTAGATTTAGTTTGCTTTTATTTTCATAGCTAAGTTGGTCAGTACTGCTCGTGGCCTTATAGTTTTAGATCTTTCCCAAACAGTATGAAGTTACTCCTTGCTTGTTAGATATCTAGCTTCTGAGCCACTTAACTATTTTGGTAACCAACCCGGAGGGATTATGACCCCAGCCTCGTGATTTCCTGTCTTGCAGTGTTTCAGTCTCTTGTGCTTCGAGTAACGAGGAGTTAGTCATGACAAACACGCGGTTGGGAGGGAGGTGGTGACACAGGACAGGCGTGGGCAGAAGTGATGTCTTTTAATGTGTGCGGTGCGTGTGACTTTCAGAGGGAGTTTGGCTTTTACTAATTCTTTCTCAGAAAGTGAAAGGAGTGAGGAAGAATGTAGACCAGTGGATTTTATTTTTAATTGGAGAAAGGATGGGTTCTTAGTTCAAAATCACGATTGCAATGAGAAATGATGATGACAGAGAATGATATAGAAGCACAAAATGGTTGGGAAATAGTAGCTTAGACCAGCAGTCGCCAACCGGTGGTCCGTGAGGTCCGAAAGGTTGGCAACCGCTGGCTTAGACTATGATACCATTTAATCTAATTGCTGAAAAATCAAAGAAAATGTATTTTGTCACTATTATGTTTGAGAGGAAATAGCCACAATAGATTAAAAATATTTAGAATGTCTTCTACAGATGACGGATATATTTTAAAGAATCCTTGATGTATTTTTTTAAAATCTCAGTTTATGGTAGGTTTGCCATATGTGGTTAAAAAAAAAAGCCTTTTCTATCAGTAACTTCCACCTTTTATTTCATTGCAATAGAGGTTCAGTGGAAACTCCATTTTGAGAGCATTGTGTATATTTTTCATTTTAATTGAATAATATGGAAGTGATTTTGTAGATGATTTCCTTTGGGGATGACTTTTCTGGGAAGCAAGAATGATTAAAAAGAAAAAAATTGAATTTGGGGGAGTGTTATTTGAACGTGTTGGCACACAGATCTGACTTGAGCAGACCATTTCATTTGTGGAGTGGCATGTGCGTGTCTGTGTTGAGGGATTCCAGGATTGCTCCACGGGTGTGCCGAGTGCCATCTGCATTGCACAACAGCGCTACAGACGCCTGCCTGGCAGACGGACACGTGCTGTTGCGCAGTCAGTCCCTGAGTGACAGGTGGGAGGAGGGTGCAGCGGCATTTCCTGCTCTTTAATTTTGACCGTAACCTTTCTGTGCCTTCACGAGTGTCAGTGATGTCAGAGCCCAGGCAGAGAGTGACAGAGGGAAAGAACCGAGGGCCCCGTGGAGTTCTTAACTTACTCAGCACAGTGGCAATAAGTTTTCCAAAAGAAGAAACTCAAATTATTTTAAGAGGGTAATTTTTCCTGCAAGTTGTTTTCCCTCTGCTTCATATACCAACTAGAGGCCCAGTGCATGAAATTCGTGCACGGATGAGGTGTCCCTCAGCCCGGCCTGCATCCTCTCCAATCTGGGAGCCGGCCTGCCTGCCTGATTGCCCCTAACCGCTTCTGCCTGCCAGCCTGATCGCCCCCTAACCACTCCCCTGCCAGCCTGATTTACGCCTAACTGCTCCTCTGCCAGCCCGATTACCCACAACTGCCCTCCCTCGCCGAAACCCTCCTCCACTGGGACCTGTCTCCGCGCAAGGCATCTTGTGGTGACTTTGCATGCAAGGGCGCGAGGACCACCTAGGCTTTTATTGGTATAGATAAATTCAAACCTTAAAAGAAATGGAAGTGCACAGTGCACCCTGGATAGTCTCCACCTGGCTCACTCGTTTCCTAAGATGCTAGGCTTCACTCCTGCTTCTTTCTCACTGGGTTTAGAGCAGTTCCTTGCACTAATGCAGAGGAGTTCTCTAACTCGCCCCCTTGGAGCTTCACATCGCACTTGAGACTTGAGAGCTTTAGTCTTTGTGGGATTTACCTCTTGTATGTGGTGTGAGATTTAGGAATCTATGTTCTTCCCAGTGGGTAGGTACTTACGTTTTGATTGTTACAGAAATCATCCTTTCACTCTTAAACATGAACGCTTTTATTTTGCTACACACACACACAATCTAATTTTAGACTCTTATGATCTTTTTACATGTTGTCTCTTCCCAAACAATGTAGGTCAGTGTGTTATAATCTCCAAAACTCGTGGGCCTGGTTCCCTCATGTGTTTCTGTGAGACCTTCCGTGGAAGGTAGCCACACTCCTTGCATAGAATCCTGGCTGCCAGGTATTGGCTCACTGGAGCAGGAGGCAGGTGGGCGCCAGGATAGCAGCACTCACTCCATAGTATTTTATATTTTAAATTCTGCATTACTTCTGCGGAAAGGGATAGAGCAAATATGTCTTTCTTCTTTGTACTTAATTTTTTAACTTACAGACTAAAGTAAATTTACACATTGGATTAAGTTCTGTGGTTGTTATAATCGTTTTCAAATATGCTATCTTGATACTTCTACTCTTTTTTTTTTGACTTCCCCTTATTTTGTAATACCTTAATTTCTATAGAGAAAAAAGAACTTGGAGATATGAACCCCGAAGAAGACTAGATTGCATATACAGGGTGTCCCCCAAAAATATATACACACTTTAACAGCTGATAGCTCAGTTGATGTTTCTTTCTTTTCAGATTTAACCCATTGGAATTAATAATGGTATTCAAAGTGTGTATACATTTTTGGGGACACCCTGTAGTGTTATTTCTGTTCCTAATGATCACAACATCCCATCACTCACTTCGTTGCATCACTTCTGCCTCTCACTGAACAGTTAGTCCCTAAGAACATCAACATTTGATTTCTCAATGTGTGTCAGTTTTCAGAGTTTGTTAGATAATTGCTTCCATTTGTTTATCTTAACACATGAATCCCATCTGGTGGCTGAATAGGGTAATTACAGATCATTCAATGCTTGGGAAAATTTGATATATTTCTCTCTTGCTTTGAAGTTAATTAAGGCAATCTTAATTCCTGAAATTAATAAGAAGGATCATTTTTTTGTCTGAGTTATAGTTGTGTTATTTTAGCATACATTTAAAAAAATGTTTTTATTGATTTTAGAAAGAGGAAGGAGAGGGGTAGAGAGGGAGAACATCAATGATGATAGTGCATCATTGATCAGCTGCCTCCTGCACACCCCCTACTGGGGATCGAGCCCCCAACCCGGGCATGTGTCCTGACCAGGAATCAAACAGGTGACCTCCTGCCGGCCGGGCTAGCATCATTTTAAAACAAAAATGGAACTAGAGTGATTTCATTTGGGTCCTTCGGACCATTGTATCTAAGTGCCTGAGTTTGACCTTTGGACAAATGTGTTAGGTTGTACATAAAGGAACATTATTTTTTTCTTTGTTTTGTTTATTCCTTTTAGCTGAGGCAAAGAGAAGCTTTCTAGTTTAGTTTCATCTATTTAGTGTAATTTTGAAGATAGGTAGGTATTCTGTAGTTACAGTCAGGTCGCCCATTGCCACGATTGCACAACTGCGCAGGTTCTAGATGTGGGAAGGCTTGCCGTACAACCACATGGAGTACGTGTCTGAAAGACTTACGATGGGGGGAAGTTATTAAAAACTTACAGGTGTGTCATCAGAAATTAAATATTAAAGAAGACATTAAATATATCTTTGATCAACCACAAATCTGAATCCTGGTGAGCCTTTATGTACGGGGAATTAATAGGCCTCTTGTTCACTTAGAATGAAACCTTTCAAGTCCAGTTCTCAGAAGGGTTTCCAAGCCTCGGGTTTCCTGTGTTTGCTGGTGCCAAGGTGTTGGGGTGATGCTATACCGCATCGCTCCTTCTCCCAGGTGCCTGGGGGGACTGTCCTCTCACGTACGAGAAGCAATAGGTTGAGAGTGTGTGGTCTAAGTTACTAATAATAACTGAAAGGGGTAATAATGATCCTAAAATTCCGATTTTTGTTGGCCATACCTACCCAGAATTAATGATAGTAGCAATTTTTTGTGGAGAAAAATGGAAGGTTCAGCTTAAGTTGCTAATGCCTTTTTTTTTTTTTTTTTGAGGGCTTTCCTAAATTATTCTTGGCAGAAATATAGAACTCTAATCTCTTTTTAAGTGGTTTCAATTTTGTATGTATGTAAGTGTAAGACATTTCAGGACTACTTTCCTGGATTTTAGATGGTATACACCAGCAACGTTTTGTATTTAACATAAAGGCAGGGGGTGAGCTGTGAACAGTAGACTTTGTGGCACGTGCGCTGCACTGTCTGCTGAGTTACTGCTGAGTCACCTGTGCCCGTTCTCACTTGACAGAATCAAAGAGTCCTCGGGGTGGCAGCAGGTGTTCACAAGCCCGTATTTGGACTGGACAGTTGAACGAGTAGCTCTGAATGCGAAGGTGGTCGGAGGTCCCCATGGAGACAAAGACAAAATGGTCGCCGTGGCCTCGGAGAGTAGCATCATCCTGTGGAGCGTCCAGGATGGAGGAAGCGGAACGGAAATCGGTGGGAAAAGCTTTGTGTCTGCTGCATTTTGCTGGTATCTGTGATATTCTGAAGCTTAGCGGGATTGCCCGTAAATAGCAAAGCTAATTGGTGGTAACGGGACCGCTCAGTGGGAGAGAAATGATCTTTAAGGAGGGGAAAAAGTGATGTTTTAGTAGGAGGACAGTCTTTGCACCACTTTACTGCACCCGAAACCTCGCGCAGAAAAATTTAAGGACCAGTACAAGTCAGTGCCGCTGCTCTGAGGCCTGCCAAGCGCCTGCTGTTTACCCAGCATGCTCTGCACCCGCCGTGCAAATGTCAGCAGGTGCTCTAGCACAGAGCATGTCCACACCACGAGCTTGTGGCCAAACATTCACATCAAAGCTCTTCAGTGACCGGTCGTGCTGGTACCGAAGAATAGAAGCAGAGCACCCGGCCAGCCCCAGCCCTGTGCTCAGCTGTTCGCAGGAAAGCAGTGCAGGTCTGCAGACGCCATGTGGTCCCCGTGGAGTCTCTGACTCAGAGGCTCACTGCGTCTCTCTGTGGCCGTGCTGGGCTCCTGGCGGCCTCTTCGTCCGCTGAGCCGCCTGTCCAGTTGTTCCTTTCCCAGCAGGCGTGGGCATTCTGTAGCCAGTAGATGCCATCACGTGACCTGCGAGATGCTTCCTGCCTGTTTCACTTCCAGGATAAAAGTCCCGCAGACATTTCTGGCTTTTAAAGAGTTTTTCACGTTTATTTAAAAAAAAAAGGAGGAATACAAGAGATATATATATATATATATATATATGTATATGTGTATATAATTTATTTATTTTTTA